TGATTGTAAGTCTCGGCAACTTCACGTGCCTTCTCCAATCTCGTGTCCACCTTCACTCCAAACTCATCGGAGAGGATCTTCATTAGCTCCATTACTGAATGGGTTCTCAAGCAATTTATACTGAAAAAAAAAATTATAATATATTTATTAATGTATATGAATTACTAATTAATTTTTGTCAAAAAGTCAAAACTAGATATCCTGGTATCACATCATGTTAGTCATGGTTCAAAATCGAGAGACGTGGAAAAATTTTAAAGAAATGTTTGTCTTGCAGGTGAACCATATTGGAATAAGAAAAAATCTGAAGGGGCTATGTCGGTGGATGACGACATCCCAAAGTATGGTATGCTAGCTTGGCATTATCATGATGAAATATGACACCGTTTTTCATGAGCTTTCCCGCCTGTTTTGGTAATGTACGCCAAAATATTATTTTTCAAATGACCATGCTGCCCTGCTCATTGTAAATGCAGCACTTGCTAAGTAGCAAGTTTATTAACATAAATATATCCAAGCAATGTAACATGTTTATGTTAATAAAAAAAATTAACATAAACATGTTCCTTATATATATATTTGTTAATTTATATAAGCATATAGTTCATTAACAAAAACATGTAGCTTTAGATATCTAAAAATATGTTTCTAGCATTTTTGAATGAATCGTTAGTTGCCAATTGCGACATTTACAATAAGCAGCATAGGCAATATAAAGTTTTGAAAGGAAAAAAGTTATTTTTATTTTGTTTAAACTTTAGCTACTTTTTGATCAACTCATTATTAGACTAAAAGAAATATATCTCTTGAGTTAAAAATTATTAAAACCACGGAAACCGCTCTTTCTCACCTAAAATGCCACGAGGTGCTCCCCGTTCCCGTAGTAACACAGAGGCCTGAACTCTTCGTATGCGTCCACTTGCCGTTGTCGATTTGAAGACGGAGCAAGGATACTCGCGATGTCACGCTTTCGCCTATGAATACCTGTAAAAAGAGAGAGCGTCATTAGCATTAAGAAAACAGCTAAGAAAAGGCAAAGCACAAGCGTCAAAATCGTACGCAGGCATATGGGACTTGTCAACTTTATGTCTCAGGGTGATAGGCGCAATGGTAGTGCCCCTCAGATCTTTGCGAATTAACACGTGAAACACACAGAGAGCGGGTACGGGTCGGGTGCGGGTCGGGCGCGTGTGGGGACGGGAGCATGGCGGGTCTAATTCCGTGTATGTATATGGACGACAACACACCGAGCGCGGGCGCGGGACGGGTGCACCCGACCCGACACGCGCCCGACCCGCACCCGCTCTCTGTGTGTTTCACGCTTTAGTCACCGCAGAGGAAGTGGGAAAACTGTTTTGCTAGACCAATTTTATAGAATAAAAAATAGATACGTTTAGGAATTCACTATTAAATAACGGTGTTACAAAAGACATACGATGCACCTAAGGATATTGTCTAAAGAAAGTGCTAATTCGTTAGACGATTGGATGTACATACTTCACCCAATCATATAAAATACTGAAAACAGGCCACTAAAATCCTAAAACGAATTATTTAAGAATAAAATATCTAACTTTGAACATAATTTTTATATGGAGAGTCTTTCAGTACTACAGAGAACATGCAAAATTTTGGTTTTCAACTGAAGCCCTGTAGTTATTAATTCACATTTACTGCCCCGTCAGCCGCCATCGGGCGATTGTCGACATCGGATCTGCGTAAAAAAATTTCCGCCTTTTCTTATTTTATTCATATAAAATTTCAGCGCTCGTGTTGCGAAACACGAAGGGCAGTCCCCCACACCTCACCCACTAAAATGGAGTCTCGCTTTGAAAAACCTCACCTTAAAAAATTGTACTTAAACTAAGTCAGCTGGTGTACTTATTATTATTATTATAAACTTACCTCGTTAAGTGCTAAGAAAGGAAGTACTTTAGTAGCCAGCGGTTCACAAACCGGCTTCGAATTTTGCTCTCGTAATGGCTGCCCCGTTTCTGGACTGTCGTGTTGCTGTGTCACTGGAGGATACCTGAAAATTAACAAAATAGTAGATTGGTGAACCAGAATGTAAATTAATCTACCACGAGATGTCCAATTTTCAATTATTTGTTTATTCAAGAAGATGTAAATAACGTATTGATATAGTACAGTGCTTATTATATTAATTTCCATACCCATTAATTAATAGATTTAAAATGTATGATAATTTGGATTTTGAACAACGTTCTTAATTGTTGTTTTGTTCTGATTTCAGTATGAACTATATAGAGCTGTAAAGCTATTTCCCTATTTTTAATAACATTTACTCCACGTCAGTAAGCAAGTTAACAAAAATATAACGTAAATAAAGTGTGCTTCTTTTATATAACTAAAAAAGAATACTTTTCCGGTTATTAATCATTTCAATTCAGTTCATATCTGAACACTATTCTTCATCTGACATAGCATGTTTGCCGTCGATGGAATAATCAGCCGCGCTGCTCGAACGTATTACTGCCTTAACTCTTAACTGCCTCCGTGGCCGAACGGTTACCATGCCGGACTGACACGCAGATATGCTGCCTACATTTATTTCTCTCGTGAGTTTGGGTGCAATTTGTGGTTGTCTATGTGTGTGTCCATGGCTATGTTGAGTGTGTGCGTTATTATTATTATTATTTATTATAAAATTGTCCATTAGCGGCTTTCCTCTCATTGAATAATAAATAAAAAATGTAATAGCAACTCTATATACTTCCAAGTCGACTGAAAGCGTCCGGTCTGTACCAAAGGCAAAAGGCAATTGAATAAAAACCGACGACAGCCGAAACACGAAGTTTGCCGAGGGACATTGAGAAAATAGAAGCACTGAACTTACCTAGAGAAATAAAGCGTGTGTAGATCGACGGGAGTGATGGTGTCTAACAACTTTGGTTCGCACGTTATCGTCGTTCGTATCCTTGAGCGACGCATCCATGTGAACTTGCCCTATAATTGGAAAATTTTAATGATAAAAATGAAGAGAATATTTCACTGGTATGATATTCATTTTAAATTTTTATGAAATTACTCCACTAATTTGGTATAATTATAATAAATTATAATTTATTGTCAGCACGACCGATGTTAAAACAAACAAATAAAGTTCCATACCTCTTTCAAAGCGTTTAACGCACCCTTCACGTCGTTGGAGCACCACGTCGGGAGGCAGAGACGGCCGACTGACTTTTGTGGAGAGCTGTTGAATCCTATGACTGGTTTACTGCAAACGATGCAACATGAAACAATAATTTTTTTTTAAGACTTTCGTGGTTATTCACTAAATGATTATCACTAGTATCAGGTCAGGGATGATGGTTTTAAACTGTCCAGTGCATGGAATCCGGTCCTTAGTGCGTGCTGTAATAAAAACAAAAACACCTCGAGTTCAGTTTCGCGTGTGGATACAGTGAGTGTGGTTTGTGTGAAAAAAGTGAGTACAATGGTAACGCCACAACAAATCGCGATGATGGTAGTCGTCGACAGCGCAAGAGGGTAGACAGATATGTCTGCACATAAAGCTGTCATCTGCCGCCGTCCAGTCAACCCGTGACCATAGAGCGTGCAACCGTTCCGAAATATCGGGAAAATAAAAAGAAGTCATACCGTGGTAAGAAACCTGATACTAGTGATAATCATTTAATGAAACAATAATTTTAATAATAATAACGCACATTTATGTAGTAGTAGAGTTCGTTGTGAAAGAATTCGTCCAGGGAAGTACTGCCACCATTTCTGCCTTCAAGTAGTAATTTGACCATTATTACGTTCCGGTTTTGAAGGGTTAAAGGTGCTGGCGAAATTACAGGCACATAGGACTTGTCAACTTATGTCTCAGGGTGACAGTCAGATCTTAAAAACAAACGCACACAGTCATACGGCTGCACCAGAGCAAAACCTAGTAAGGGACAAATTTTCAGAAAATAATTATTGAACGTAATACTCCCACAGTGAGTACTCAGCTAATACCACAAACACCCCGACCCCGGACAACATAGAAAGTTAGTTTCTACAAAAATGGCGACACGATGAAAACGGATGTACAAGCCACTCGAGTACGGAAGTCGGTTATTTCTAAAATTGGTCCAACGGGAATCAGATCCTAAACTTCCTCAAATACAGTAGTTTCTTTTAAGTAGCAGTAGAGCTCGTTAAGAAAAGTTCGTCCAGGAAAGTACTGCCACCTTACCCGTTTCTGTCGTCAAGCAGTAATGTGAGCATTACTGCGATCCCAGTTTGTTGGGGAAATTACAGACACATGGGACTTATCAACTTATGTCTCAGGGTGACGGGCGCAGTGGCAGTGCCCCTAAGATCTTTACGTTTAAAGCTCTGAATGGCACTGCAAATAAGTTTAGAACTGCTACATTTAAAACTTACATTAAAAGAATTTTAACTGAAAAGTCATATTACACAATTTAAGAATACGTGTTCGATAAAGATGTATGGGAAGACGACATGAGTTTAGATTCCACACAAATATGATTCAAAGTGTATGTCCATAGCATATAAGTTTATTTGAAAAGACCAATCCCTAGATTTTTTGCTCGTTGAGAAGACTCAAAGAAGTCAGACAGTACGAAGCAGTAGCTTAAAAAATGACGTTTACAAATGTAAAATTTTACCTTTACATCTTTTACTTTTAAATCATTATTTGACTTTGATTTTGATGATTATATGTTATATACATATATTATATATGTTATGTATGTTATATATGTTATATATTATGTTTGACACAACTAGACGGAAGGAATCCGTCACTTGATACCATAAAAAAAACAAAGTAACTTACCTATTATCTCTAACTCTAGAAGCAGCTAGCAGGAATGTGCCATCTCCGCCGCATGGAACGACAACGTCGCACCATTTTATTAGATCCTCATTATATGTTAATCTGTTAACAATAAAAAAAAAGTTATGCATCATTACCATCACAAAGATGTAGCGTAGTTGGAAGAACAAATAACCCAGATTTAGGATCTCAGTCATAAAATGAGTATTTATTAACCGAGGAGAAGGTACTCAATTCAACTGTATTTTTTGTTTGTGCGCGTGTGTGTAACGTGATTACTCCGAAATTTATGAACCGGTGTCCATGGTTTTTATTAAAAAAAAAGGTGGTGAAAAATAGCGATCCCCTACAAATTTTGAAAAAAATATTCCACCTTTAATGGTAGTGGCAAATTAGGCGATGAACAATATACCGGTTTGTATATCACTGTATATATATTTTTTATTGTTTGTATATTTAATAAAGGTTTTTTATGATATAAAGTGACGGGTGGAACAAGTTGTGCGCCTGGTTGTGAGCGTCACGCCTGTCCATAACAGTTGCAGTACCGCTCAGAGTATTAAATTGCAAGGAGCTGAGGCACACTCCCAGTGCGCCCATCACCCTGAGACGTAAGTTGACTTGTGCCTGTAATTTTACCAGCACCCTTACCCTTCAAAACCTAAACCGTCTGGTAAATTAATAAGTAAATAATTCGCTATTTCCTTCTAGTGATTTTTGCTTGAGAATCGCTTTGAGACTTTAGATAGACTTTAGACGCTTTGACTCCTGTTAGGAGCATTGGGTGTAGCCTAAAAATGACCTTAGAAATTATCCGGGGACAGGAGTGGAACGTCATCGATAGAGATATATAAACGCAGTAGTACCACGAGTACCACATTTTCTTACCCGTGGTACTACCGCTGAAAATAAACGGCATCCAAATCACTTATAGATTTAAAACCTGATTCATCAATGGAATTTTCCAACTCGAAAAACTTAAGTAAACAATATCCCAGATTAGATTATCATATGTTTATACAAGCGACGACGCTTGTTATTTCAGTAATAAAATTAATAATATTTACAAAAATAA